TGTCAGTATATTTATATCAGTGTAAATACTAGTGTTACATAGTGTCAGTATATTTATATAAGTGTAAATACTAGTGTTACATAGTGTCAGTATATTTATACAAGTGTAAATATGTTATGTGGTGTTATTCATAATCATATAAACATAGATTAAAGTTTGTTATGTGGTATTGATATATTTTTACTTGGATAAGACATGACCTTTCTGTTTAAAAAGAAAACCGGCTTGTTATAAATAGAAATTCTTTTAAACATATTGTTATCCCTGCATCAAGGGAAGTAACTCTTTGTACTTGTCGGGGGTTGTATTCTGACAAAAACGTGGACACCTTTGTTATGTGAACTATGAAGTTTTGACTACCAAAAAGGGTCTTGATAATGTAACATACATATCAATCTTTGGTATCGTTCTTTGTGATATTGAACACTATCTTGCCTTTTTTATTTAATTTGTACTGGTAAATTTCACTCGTATAATCCTTTTCTTATTACAATGTAGTTACCATTTGTGATTGTGATTGAAAAAGCAAAATCAATTCTTGTATGATATTAACATTGCTTTGTATCAGAACATAACAGTTTTGATCAATACATTGTTTCTGAAAATCTGTGGAGTGTAAAATGCACAGCTCATTCATTGTGGATTGTTTTGCAGATTTATGACCAGATGCCCGAACCTCGCTTTGTCATCTCGATGGGAAGTTGTGCTAATGGTGGTGGATACTACCATTACTCTTACTCAGTTGTCCGAGGCTGTGATCGTATTATACCTGTAGATATTTATGTACCTGGTAAGTGGACCCAGTAGTCCGAGGCTGTGATTGTATTATACCTGTAGTTATTTATGTACCTGGTAAGTGGACCCAGTAGTCTGAGGCTGTGATCATATTATACCTGTAGATATTTATGTACCTGGTAAGTGTACCAAGTAGTCCGAGGCTGTGATCGTATTATACCTGTAGATATTTATGTACCTGGTAAGTGGACCCAGTAGTCCGAGGCTGTGATTGTATTATACCTGTAGTTATTTATGTACCTGGTAAGTGGACCCAGTAGTCTGAGGCTGTGATCATATTATACCTGTAGATATTTATGTACCTGGTAAGTGTACCAAGTAGTCCGAGGCTGTGATCGTATTATACCTGTAGATATTTATGTACCTGGTAAGTGGACCCAGTAGTCTGAGGCTGTGATCGTATTATACCTGTAGATATTTATGTACCTGGTAAGTGGACCCAGTAGTCTGAGGCTGTGATTGTATTATACCTGTAGATATTTATGTACCTGGTAAGTGGACCCAGTAGTCTGAGGCTGTGATCGTATTATACCTGTAGATATTTATGTACCTGGTAAGTGGACCCAGTAGTCTGAGGCTGTGATCGTATTATACCTGTAGATATTTATGTACTTGGTAAGTGGACCCAGTAGTCTGAGGCTGTGATCGTATTATACCTGTAGATATTTATGTACCCGGTAAGTGGACCCAGTAGTCTGAGGCTGTGATCGTATTATACCTGTATATATTTATGTACCCGGTAAGTGGACCCAGTAGTCTGAGGCTGTGATCGTATTATACCTGTATATATTTATGTACCCGGTAAGTGGACCCAGTAGTCTGAGGCTGTGATCGTATTATACCTGTATATATTTATGTACCCGGTAAGTGGAGCCAGTAGGTGCCTGATGGATTCAGTAGTCTGAGGCTGTGACCCAAGATATCTACTGGAACCTCCTTAATGTTAGTGATAACATTTGAACTGCATTAAAGTACCAGATAGATAAACTAGTGTATAAAATACCAACAGTGAATTTTGCATATTACATGTATACAATATTAAATCAATATTACATGTATATAATATTTAATGTATACAATAAAACATATTACATGTATACAATAAAACATATTACATGTATACAATATTACATATTACATTATGCAAAGTGTGGTTACGGTTACTTTTACTTTGTGTTTAAAAAATATCTTCACATTTATCTTACTTTCATAACCCAAGCTATCTGCTTGTGATTACAGGATGTCCGCCGACAGCAGAAGCTTTGTTATACGGAGTGCTTCAACTACAGAAGAAAATCAAGAGAATGAAAATATTTCAGATGTGGTACAGGAAATAGACCACTCCTTTCTCAGCTTTTATTAAACTTTGGGAAACTTTGTCGAACATGTAGACCTCTTTTTGTGTGTGTCGGGAATTTTTTGACATTCAAAATTAATGAAGGAACATCATTTATGGAGCCTGTGTGTTTTGTTTTACATGGCATTATTTAGGAGCCTAAATTATAGTAGTAATACCACACTGATTGGCTTTTGTTGGATACCACTTGTACAGCGTAATAGATTGAATAAACTGAAAAGTTGGGTGGGACGTTTATATAAAATGCGAGATGTGTGTACGAGACAACAGACTGTGTTATGTAAATAATGCTGGTGTGTTTAATTTACATGTATGTCTTTGTCATTAAAATTGGAAATGGAAACAAGTATTTGTTATCAATCTGCTACATTCTTGTGATATCCATTTGATGAATGGAAATTTTGCTTCATTTGTCATCTTGCATGGAACTAAGTTTTTATGCCCCCACATGATATAGTGGGCATAAAGTGTTGCCCTCGTCCAAACTTCCCAAAAAATCTTTACACAATGACATCATGCTTTTACGGTTGGATTTCCACAAAATTCATAGTAGATAAAAAGGTAGCTTGAATGAACATTTTGCACCACAGACCATTACAGTAAATAGGGAGTTATCATCACCGATTGTGGTCAGATTTCCATGAAACTTCATACAGTATAATAATAAAGAACCAGGGTAGCATGAATGAGCATTAAGTACCTAAGGTCAAGGTCACCATTGCTATAAAAAGGAAAGTCTTGCCCTGACTTATATTGGTTGGACTCCTACAGAGTTTAAGCACAAAGGTAGCATTATAAGTTTTGCATTTTGTCTTGTTAGTCTAGGTTTAAGTCCTTGTAATAGCAAAGGTCATAAAGAACTGTCCATGTTGGTGGAGCTACCCCGGCTACATTAACCATGCACCGATGTCCACAAGAAATCTCGCCAAATCACATCATTCTGACAGAGAGCAGAATTATACACTGAAGATTACTGTTAACCTGGTTATCCATTAAGTCAATTTCATGCGTGTCATAGACATTCTCTAGTGAGTTTTCTCCACCCTCACCCATAGAGAATTCATCAGCTCAAAAATGTGTGAGCCTTGTTGCAAAATATCCCACTCATGTGGCACACTACAGATGGGTGATGTACACTACTTATTGGTGATGTACACTACTGATTGGTGATGAACACTACTGATGGGTGATGAACACTACTGATGGGTGATGTACACTACTGATTGGTAATGAACACTACTCATGGGTTATGTACACTACTGATTGGTGATGTATTCTACTGATGGGTGATGTACACTACTTCTTGGTGATGCACACTACTTATTGGTGATGTACACTACTGATGGGCTGATGGATGATGTCCACAACTGATGGGTGATGTACACTACTGATTGGTGATGAACACTACTGATGGGTGATGAACACTACTGATGGGTGATGAACACTACTGATTGGTAATGAACACTACTCATGGGTTATGTACACTACTGATTGGTGATGTATACTACTGATGGGTGATGTCCACTACTTATTGGTGATGTACACTACTGATGGATGATGTCCACTACTTATTGGTGATGTACACTACTTATTGGGGATGTACACTACTGATGGATGATGTCCACAACTGATGGGTGATGTACACTACTGATTGGTGATGTATACTACTGATGGGTGATGTACACTACTTATTGGTGATGTACACTACTGATGGGTGTACACTACTGTTGGGTGATGTACACTTCTGATGGGCGATGTACACTACTTATTGGTGATGTACACTACTGATGGGTGATGTACACTACTGATGGGTGATGTACACTTCTGATGGGTGATGTACACTACTTATTGGTGATGTACACTACTGATTAGTGATGTACATTACTGATGGGTGTACACTACTGATGGGTGATGTACACTACCGATTGGTGATGTACACTTCTGATGGGTGATGTACACTACTGATTGGTGATGTACACTACTAATTGGTGATGTACACTACCGATGGGTGATGTACACTACTGATGGGTGATGTACACTTCTGATTAGTGATGTACACTACTGATGGATGATGTACACTACTAATTGGTGATGTACACTACCGATGGGTGATGTACACTACTGATGGGTGATGTACACTACTTATTGGTGATGTACACTACTGATGGGTGTACACTACTAATGGATAATGTACACTACTGATTAGTGATGTACATTACTGATGGATGATGTACACTTCTTATTAGTGATGTACACTACTGATGGATGATGTCCACAACTGATGGGTGCTGTACACTACTGATGGGTGATGTACACTACTTATTTGTGATGTACACTACTGAATGGTGATGTACACTACTGATTGGTGATGTACACTACTTATTGGTTATGTACACTACATATTGGTGATGTACACTATTGATAGATGATGTCCACAACTGATGGGTGATGTACACTACTGATGGGTGATGTACACTACTTATTTGTGATGTACACTACTGAATGGTGATGTACACCACTGATTGGTGATGTACACTACTGATGGGTGATGTATACTACTGATGGGTGATGTACACTACTGATGGGTGATGTACACTACTGATTGGTGATGTACACTACTGAATGGGTGATGTATACTACTTATTGGTGATGTTCACTACTGATGGATGATGTCCACAACTGATGGGTGATGTACACTAATGATGGGTGATGTACACTACTTATTTGTGATGTACACTACTGAATGGTGATGTACACTACTTATTGGTAATGTACACTACCGATGGGTGATGTACACTTCTGATGGGTGATGTACACTACTTATTTGTGTTGTACACTACTGAATGGTGATGTACACCTCTGATTGGTGATGTACACTACTGATGGTTGATGTATACTACTGATGGGTGATGTACACTACCAATGGGTGATGTACACTACTGATGGGTGATGTACACTTCTTATTGGTGATGTACACTACTGATAGGAGATGTACACTACTTATTGGTGATGTACAATACTGATTGGTGATGTACACTACTGATAGAGGATGTACACTACTGATGGGTGATGTACCCTACTAATGGATAATGTACACTACTGATTGGTGATGAACACTACTAATGGGTGATGTACACTATTGATGTGTGATGTACACTACTGATAGTTGATGTACACTACTTATTGGTGATGGACACTACTGATAGTTGATGTACACTACTTATTGGTGATGTATACTACCGATGGGTGATGTACACTTCTGATGGGTGATGTACACTACTTATTTGTGATGTACACTACTGAATGGTGATGTACACTACTTATTGGTAATGTACCCTACCGATGGGTGATGTACACTTCTTATTGGTGATGTACACTACTGATGGGTGAACACTACTAATGGATAATGTACACTACTGATTAGTGATGAACACTACTGATGGGTGATGTACACTACTGATAGATGATGTACACTACTGATGGGTGATTTACACTACTGATGGGTGATGTACACTATGATGGATGATGTACACTACTGATGGGTGATGTATACCACTGATGGGTGATGTACACTACTTATTGGTAATGTACCCTACCGATGGGTGATGTACACTTCTTATTGGTGATGTACGTACAATACTTATTGGTGATGTACACTACTGATTGGTAATGAACACTACTCATGGGTTATGTACACTACTGATTGGTGATGTACACTACTGATAGATGATGTACACTACTGATGTGTGATGTACACTTGTACACTACTGATAGGTGATGTACACTACTTATTGGTAATGTACCCTACCGATGGGTGATGTACACTTCTTATTGGTGATGTACCCTACTGATAGGTTATGTACACTACTTATTGGTGATGTACAATACTGATTGGTGATGTACACTACTGATTGGTGATGTACACTACTGATAGATGATGTACACTACTGATGGGTGATGTACACTACTGATGGGTGATGTACACTATGATGGATGATGTACACTACTGAAGGTTTAAAAAGAACTACAAACTTTATTGATTTTACAACGAGTATAAAATATTTAATTGATATTGATATTGATTGCTCTTGTTTGCCCAGATGTTAACGTGCGCGGGTTCTTAATGTAGAAGGAAACTTGACTACCAGGAGATAACCAACTTGGTCGGGCAGGTGACCCCATACCTTTTCACGTCCGATATGGGACTCGAACCCCGGCCGCAAATCGTAAAAGGCGAGTGCGTTACCCACTGCGCCACTCAAGTACTAAGAGTGATCTACACTGGTTTATGTGAACACTCTGTATAGGAATGTAACATTATGAGGTTGACGTTCCCTCCTAACAGGTCCTCAGTATACTTGGTTGACAGCTATTTCCCAAGTTTATGAGCAAGTATCAATGTCGTTATATGGTTACACACCTGGATCTCAGCTATCAGGAAACTTTTACGTTCCTTATTTTTGTAAACCGATAGATTTATTACTCACGATTTCGGGATGGTTTACAACAATAAAGTGGAAATCACTTGGAGACGTTGATTGTGTTGCTAGGTCATTATTGTGGTGTTGTAGCCAAAATTTTAGCTAATGCGTGTTTTGTCGTCAGGGTATTCTGAGTCGGACCAAATAAACAGGTAAACAGTATACAAACCAGACAATTCTATTCTCTGTATGTTTGGTAAAAATACTTATCTCGAAAAGTGTACAGTAACGCGTGGTTATAGATAATGATCGCCAATCAAATAAATCAAAACAAAAATCGTTTAATTATCAAAAGGTGACAGGCATGACATAACTTGATAACATAGTACTGACTACTGTAAGTACTAATAACTTGATAACATAGTACTGACTACTGTAAGTACTGACTACTGTAAGTACTGACTACTGTAAGTACTAATAACTTGATAACACAGAACTGACCACTGTAAGTACTAATAACTTGATAACATAGTACTGACTACTGTAAGTACTGATAACTTGATAACACAGTACTGACTACTGTAAGTACTAATAACTTGATAACATAGTACTGACTACTGTAAGTACTAATAACTTGATAACATAGTACTGACTACTGTAAGTACTAATAACTTGATAACATAGTACTGACTACTGTAAGTACTAATAACTTGATAACATAGTACTGACTACTGTAAGTACTAATAACTTGATAACATAGTACTGACTACTGTAAGTACTAATAACTTGATAACATAGTACTGACTACTGTAAGTACTAATAACTTGATAACATAGTACTGACTACTGTAAGTACTAATAACTTGATAACATAGTACTGACTACTGTAAGTACTAATAACTTGATAACATAGTACTGACTACTGTAAGTACTAATAACTTGATAACATAGTACTGACTACTGTAAGTACTAATAACTTGATAACATAGTACTGACTACTGTAAGTACTAATAACTTGATAACATAGTACTGACTACTGTAAGTACTAATAACTTGATAACATAGTACTGACTACTGTAAGTACTAATAACTTGATAACATAGTACTGACTACTGTAAGTACTAATAACTTGATAACATAGTACTGACTACTGTAAGTACTAATAACTTGATAACATAGTACTGACTACTGTAAGTACTAATAACTTGATAACATAGTACTGACTACTGTAAGTACTAATAACTTGATAACATAGTACTGACTACTGTAAGTACTAATAACTTGATAACATAGTACTGACTACTGTAAGTACTAATAACTTGATAACATAGTACTGACTACTGTAAGTACTGACTACTGTACTGACTACTGTAAGTACTGACTACTGTAAGTACTAATAACTTGATAACATAGTACTGACTACTGTAAGTACTGATAACTTGATAACATAGTACTGATTACTGTAAGTACTTATTTTGTATAATAATAGTTAGTGTTGAAAATGTATACAGACAAATTTTACAGACCGCAGCCTATAGAACACATGTAGGACTAAGGTCTTCAATATTACAAATAGTAAGCTTAAAGACAGAGAATTCTTCACCGTTACAATTAACAACTCACGGTATATACACAAACATAAACAAGTAGGCATATAGATTACAGTTAAGTTCTGTGATGGGTGGAGCTGCATGCAACATCTTGGTCAGGTGGTGTAAATATGATTAAAATCATGTCCAGTAGACACGTATACTAATCGTATCCCGTCAGTGCAGCGTCCGTACAGTCTGATTGGCTTATATTGAAAGATCACGCGTAAGGTATTAGAGATGAACGTGTGATGGACATGTGTTGCGGACTCATTTTCACAGCATCTCTAGGTATACGCAGGGCGTGAAAACAGTATCGCTGTACGTAGAACCCTTCACTATCAAAGGCTCGCAGCGCAGGGCAGGTGAGACCAACCATAGGTAACAGTCGCTGATAAATCATGACAATGGTAAGTCTTCACACAGGTATCTAAATCGTTATTACCAACAGTAACTGAGGTATTTTAAAACAGGTAAGTATTCACTATTGCAAACAGTAACCGGTAAGTATTTACCATAAGAAATAGTAACACGGTAATTCTTTACACTTACAAATAGTAACACGGTAAGTATTTACCATAAGAAATAGTAACGCGGTAATTCTTTACATTTACAAATAGTAACACGGTAAGTATTCGCCATTAGAAATAGTACCACGGTAAGTATTCACAATTAGAAATCGAACACGGCTAGTCTTTACACTTAAATATAGTAACACGGTAAGTCTAATCATTAAAAAAGGTACCGAGGTAAGTCTTTCTACTTAGAAATAGCAACACGGTGAGTATTCGCCATTAGAAATAGTTACACGGGGTAAGTCTTAACCATTTGAAATAGAAACATTGTAAGTCTTTACCATTTGAAATAGAAACACGGTAAGTTTTTACCATTTGAAATAGTAACACGGTAAGTCTTAACCATTTGAAATAGAAACATTGTAAGTCTTTACCATTTGAAATAGTAACATGGCAAGTCTTTACCATTTGAAATAGTAACATGGTAAGTCTTTACCATTTGAAATAGTAACACGGTAAGTCTAAACCATTTGAAATAGAAACACGATGTCTTTACCATTTGAAATAGTAACACGGTAAGTCTTAACCATTTGAAATAGAAACACGATGTCTTTACCATTTGAAATAGTAACACGGTAAGTCTTAACCATTTGAAATAGAAACATTGTAAGTCTTTACCATTTGAAATAGAACCACGGTAAGTTTTTACCATTTGAAATAGTTACACGGGGTAAGTCTTTACCATTTGAAATAGAAACACGGTTAGTCTTTACCATTTGAAATAGTTACACGGTAAGTCTTTACCATTTGAAATAGTAACATGGTAAGTCTTTACCATTTGAAATAGTAACACGGTAAGTCTTAACCATTTGAAATAGTAACACGATGTCTTTACCATTTGAAATAGTAACACGGAAAGTATTCCCCTTTGGAAATAGAAACACGGTAAGTTTTTACCATTTGAAATCGAACACGGCTAGTCTTTACACTTAAATATAGTAACACGGTAAGTCTAATCATTAAAAAAGGTAACAGGGTAAGTCTTATCATTGAAAATGGTAACGAGGTAAGTCTTTCTACTTAGAAATAGTAACACGGTGAGAATTCGCCATCAGAAATAGTTACACGGGGTAAGTCTTAACCATTTGAAATAGAAACATTGTAAGTCTTTACCAATTGAAATAGTAACACGGTAAGTTTTTACCATTTGAAATAGTAACATGGTATGTCTTTACCATTTGAAATAGTAACACGGTAAGTATTCCCCTTTGGAAATAGAAACACGGTAAGTTTTTACCATTTGAAATAGTAACACGGTAAGTCCTTACCATTCGAAATAGTAACACGGTAAGTTTTTACCATTTGAAAGAGTAACACGGTAAGTCTTAACCATTTGAAATAGAAATACGATGTCTTTACCATTTGAAATAGTAACACGGTAACTTTTTACCATTTGAAATAGTAACACGGTGAGTGCTTACCATTTGAAATAGTAACACGGTAACTTTTTACCATTTGAAATAGTAACACGGTGAGTGCTTACCATTTGAAATAGTAACACGGTAACTTTTTACCATTTGAAATAGTAACACGGTAAGTCCTTACCATTCGAAATAGTAACACGGTAAGTTTTTACCATTTGAAATAGTATCACGGTAAGTCTTAACCATTTGAAATAGGAACACGATGTCTTTACCATTTGAAATAGTAACGCGGTAAGTATACCCCTTTGTAAATAGAAACCCGGTCAGTTTTTACCATTTGAAATAGTAACACGGTAAGTTTTTTCCATTTGAAATAGTAACACGGTGAGTTTTTACCATTTGAAATAGTAACACGGTAAGTTCTTACCATTTGAAATAGTAACACGGTAAGTTTTTTCCATTTGAAATAGTAACACGGTAAGTATTCGCCTTTGGAAATAGAAACACGGTAAGTTTTTACCATTTGAAATAGTTACACGGGGTAAGGCTTTACCATTTGAAATAGAAACACGGTGTCTTTACCATTTGAAATAGTAACACGGTAACTTTTTACCATTTGAAATAGTAACACGGGGTAAGTCTTTACCATTTGAAATAGAAACACGGTGTCTTTACCGTTTGAAATAGTAACACGGTAAGTATTCGCCTTTGGAAATAGAAACACGGTAAGTTTTTACCATTTGAAATAGTAACACGGTAAGTCCTTACCATTTGAAATAGTAACACGGTAAGTTTTTACCATTTGAAATAGTAACACGGGGTAAGTCTTTACCATTTGAAATAGTAACACGGTAAGTTTTTACCATTTGAAATAGTAACATGTACTTTTCCTGCACTACTGATAAAGAGAAAAATTCCCTATATATGTCTTTTAATGGAAAGTCTTTATAATTTAATTTTAATCTGAATTAACCGATTGACTGACTCGATTTGAACATTATACGTATGCATGTAATGGTGTTATTTTCGTGGGTTGATTACATTGGATTACTAGCACAACCGATCCTCTTAGAAAAAGACAAAGAATAGCATTACCAAGCCCAATGAAATCATGCTTTTCTATGAAATTAAAATGTTTTAATAATTATATATTTGTTTAGGAAACTATTGAACAGCTTTTAGTTTGATATATATATTATATAACCAATATGAATGCCAGAGGGTTCGTGGAAAAGTCATGAAGCGCCAAGTTTAAAGCCTTAGTCTAACGGTTGTGTTCTATTTACAGGGAAAGGGAGAATGAACACTTAGTAACTACATTATATTCCACCAGCCTGTCAACTAATAGCACCTACACGCTGTTTTTTCTATGCGCTGATCCATCGATACCCGTACAACAGTGTGTAGTGTCCACGTATTCACCTATCGTCCGACACAGTTCCTGTCGGAATGGCCAGCATGGATTCGGAAGCGTCCGAAGTGAACACCACGGATGTCTATGACGTTTTGTTTGATGTCAGCGCGTGCTCCACCAATGTCACGAGCTACATCTACGCATTTATTGGTCTAGCCTGTCTGGCTTTTATAAGTGTTGTTGTGCTCGTCATCTCCAACATCTTACAGCGGAAAAAGCTCGGCAAGAACTATGTAGACATAATTTCCGGTTTTGCAGTTATTCAGCTCTGTTACTGCCTAGTGAATACAGTTGTGATCTTTCTGCATCAGCTTGGTCACTGTGGCTGGGTATACCAAACAGGAGGCATGTGCAAGTTCATGTGGTGGTTGAAGCACACGTCGTTCGTATCGGGGAATTACATCCTAGTCTTGATCTGCACATGCTCAAAGTTACTGTTTGTGGAGGGGAAGTCTGACACCAGTCGATCCCTACCTGTAGTGATAGGGTTCTGGGTAATCGTTCTCGTGTCGGGACTGTTTGACATCCCGTATTTGATCTTCACGGAGGTGGTGAACGGGATTGCCCGTCGTGACTCTGATGTTATCTCTATCAGCTACTGTCATGTCGGCGCTGGACACACCAACCATCTGGAGATAATTGAGTTCTGTTTCGGAACACTCCTCCCAGCGATATGTGCTTTCCTTAGCTTGATTCCACACTTTCTTGGTGCGTGGACAAGGTTCGACAAAGGAATCATGTGCTACTTCCGTCGAACAACCGAGGACAAGCATGATGGTGACGGAGGAGTTGATGTAAGGAAACGCCTGGACAGATACTTCTCCAAATGTCTTACAGCGGCCGTGTTCATGCACGTGCTTCTATTGGTCCCGCAACGTCTATTTGAGTTTGTCAACCTTCTGAGCACCAGACCGTCTACTCTACCAACGGTCGGGGTTAAGAACGCATCTGAGATGAGCCCCGACGCATGGAACACTTTCATAGCAATGTTTACCATGTTCCCCCTTATCTACAGCATCTTCACCTTCCCAATTTATCACGCGCTTGCCGGTAATCCGTTTAAGTGCTTCGCCTGCTTCGGGATGGAGAAGTCGCCCAGTCGGCAGCTACAGCGTCGTAAGCCGGTACGACATATTGCCGCCTCAGAAACCGCTGATACCTATTTCCAGAGCGTCACGTCTGATGAGTTCGCGTCCAACTTTTAGAGGTAGTGATTGCCACTATTTTAGTGACGTAATCGCCAGTGTCAGTGTAACAACCAGTCCGTGTTGGAGTAAGGCGACATATAACACTAACCAGCATCTCGGGCGAGGTACATTTGTTACGCCACGCGGAAAACTTTAACAATTTTCATATGATAAAACGTCGCAGTCAGGAAAGCACAGAAACGATGTCCCCGACTCGGGCCATGTAAATTCTCGTTTTTCTATATTTCAACAGAAATATATTTTTCATCCGACGGTTGACGGACTCAGTTTTGCTGGCACCAAATGTAGGAAGCCCCCTACCTGACATATAATATGCCAATTACGTATTATCAGAAATGACAGGTGTTAAGGATTATGTATACTATAAGAGACATAAGCCGTTGTGATATCATTTTATTCCCATACCTGCTGTGGCTTCATATCTGGTCCTTCATGAACTTCGATCGTCCAGATCTACTAACTTAGCTAGCAAGAACACACCTGATACTGGACAAGGATGAAATACGGCGTATTGACAGTGTGTTCTTGAATAAAGTGGTAGGACGCTCATTTTTATTGAAAATGAAGGCTGTTGTTACAACTTTGTTTAACAATTAGTTGAAATGCTTTGAACGTATTAGGTGCAGGAACCGTAGCATTTAGGGCCGATCGTTGTTATTATTATTTTTTTATGTTTTTTTGTTATCGGATCCCGATAATAAAAAGCAAATATAAAAATAAAAACGATCCCGATAATTAAAAAACAAAAACGATCAGACCTAAAACTACAGTGGTGCAGCTAAAAATTCGAACCTTTTACCGATGACTGGAGGTATTGGTGGCTATATAACGACCTTATAACCGTTCTCCTTTACTAATAGTTGGAGGTGGCTAGGCCTTACAGCAATTCTCCTTTACTAACGGCTGGATGTGGCGAGGCCTTACAGCAATTCTCCTTTACTAACGGCTGAATGTGGTGAGGCCTTACAGCAGTTCTCCTTTACTAACGGTTGGAGGTGGTGAGGCCTTATAACCGTTCTCCTTTACTAATAATGAGAGGTGGCGAGGCCTTACAGCAATTCTCCTTTACTAACGGCTGGATGTGGCGAGGCCTTACAGCAATTCTCCTTTACTAACGGCTGAATGTGGTGAGGCCTTTCAGCAGTTCTCCTTTACTAACGGCTGGATGTGGCGAGGCTTTACAGCAATTCTTTTTTACTAATAGTTGGAGGTGGTGAGGCCTTACAGCGATTCTCCTTTACTAATAGTTAGATGTGTTGAGGCCTTACAGCAATTCTCCTTTACTAATAGTTGGATGTGGTGAGTCCTTACAGCAATTCTCCTTTACTAATAGTTGGAGGTGGTGGGTCCTTACAGCAATTCTCCTTTACTAATTGTTGGAGGTGGTGAGGCCTTACAGCAATTCTTCTTTACTAATAGTTGGAGGTGGTGAGACCTTACAGCAATTCTCCTTTACTAACGGCTGAATGTGGAGAGGCCTTTCAGCAGTTCTCCTTTACTAACGGCCGGATGTGGCGAGGCTTTACAGCAATTCTTTTTTACTAATAGTTGGAGGTGGTGAGGCCTTACACCAATTCTCCTTTACTAATAGTTGGATGTGGCGAGGCCTTACAGCAATTCTTTTTTACTAATAGTTGGGGGTGGTGAGGCCTTACAGCAATTCTTCTTTACTAATAGTTGGAGGTGGTGAGGCCTTTCAGCAATTCTCCTTTACTAACGGCTGAATGTGGTGAGGCCTTTCAGCAATTCTCCTTTACTAACGGCTGAATGTGGTGAGGCCTTTCAGCAGTTCTCCTTTACTAACGGCTGAATGTGGTGAGGCCTTTCAGCAGGTCTCCTTTACTAACGGCTGGATGTGGCGAGGCTCTACAGCAATTCTTTTTTACTAATAGTTGGAGGTGGTGAGTCCTTACACCAATTCTCCTTTACTAATAGTTGGATGTGGTGAGTCCTTACAGCAATTCTCCTTTACTAACGGCTGAAGGTGGTGAGGCCTTTCAGCAGTTCTCCTTTACTAACGGCTGAATGTGGTGAGGCCTTTCAGCAGTTCTCCTTTACTAACGGCTGAATGTGGAGAGGCCTTTCAGCAGTTCTCCTTTACTAACGGCTGAATGTGGTGAGGCCTTTCAGCAATTCTCCTTTACTAACGGCTGGATGTGGCGAGGCTCTACAGCAATTCTTTTTTACTAATAGTTGGAGGTGGTGAGGGCTTACAGCAATTCTTCTTTACTAATAGTTGGAGGTGGTGAGGCCTTTCAGCAATTCTCCTTTACTAAAAGTTGGAGGTGGTGAGGCCTTACAGCACGTCTCCTTTACTAACAATTGGAGATGGTGCGACCTTATAGCCATTCTCCTTTACTAATAGTTGGAGGTGGTGCNATTCTCCTTTACTAATAGTTGGAGGTGGTGAGGCCTTACAGCAATTCTCCTTTACTTATAGTTGGAGGTGGTGAGACCTTACAGCAATTTTCCTTTACTAATAGTTGGAGGTGGTGTGGCCTTACAGCAATTCTCCTTTACTAATAGTTGGAGGTGGTGAGGCCTTACAGCAATTCTCCTTTACTAATAGTTGGAGGTGGTGTGGCCTTACAGCAATTCTCCTTTACTAATAGTTGGAGATGGTGAGGCCTTACAGCAATTTTCCTTTACTAACAGTTGGCGGTAGTGAGGCCTTACAGCAATTCTCCTTTACTAATAGTTGGAGATGGTGAGGCCTTACAGCAATTCTCCTTTACTAATAGTTGGAGGTGGTGAGGCCTTACAGCAATTCATCTTTACTAATAGTTGGAGGTGGCGAGGCCTTACAGCAATTCTCCTTCACTAATAGCTGGAGGCGGTGATGCCTTATAGCCATTCTCCTTTACTAACGGCTGGAGTCGGTGAGGCCTTACAACCATTCTCCTTTACTTATACTTCGAGGTGGTTAGGCCTTATAGCCATCCTCCTTTACTAACCACTGGAGGCGGTGAGGACCCAGAAAGGTTTTGTTTACATCATTCTTTACTATTCATTGGAGATTTTGGAGCCGCAGAATGGCCTTATTGTCATCTCTTGAAAGTGAAACAATTGTCATCTAATATGTAATAGGTGGTATATCCATCCAAAAGACATAGTTTCAAATCTTTAACTCTGTTTGATGAACTCTTGTAACTATTAGAGGAACCAATAGAGTAAGCATTATACTGAAATAGTGACGTCGTGAATCCGTGTCTATCTACCTACTGTCCATTGCTATATACAGCTCCTCTAATGCCAGTATTAAATCAGAAACTGATATAATCCCGACATATCGCTATTTGTGGGCAAGCTGAAATGTCAAGATTTACAGATAAATGTCAACTGTTCATTATTCGTGGTTAAGGCAAAATTAGTTTTTAAAGGCGATGAACAAATATGACAATGATCATTTACAAAATGCTCACCGGTACTCGCAATACACTTCAGAAAACAGGTACACATGTCTATCCTTGAAAGGTGAGGGTGCGCGACAGTTGATTGATTAGTACCTGCCGTGTAACGCGTTATCCTCTGTGGACACTGTACATACGTACACAACATGTGCTGGACCTTCACACTCGAGAGTAAGTGGCTTAGACTTGATTCTATGATGCGATCAACTGGGTGCATCATCACAAATATCATTATAATGCGATGTTTATTTGTTGTTATATTTTCCGTGCTTGTGAATAACTCGTTTTCAGGCTGAGAATTAATTATCAAGGATGGACACGTCAATTAAGCTTGTTCAAAATAAAGTATTTGCTTGTAAACAAATTGTGTTAACGGAGTTTTTATTGTAAGCTATTTGAAAATATGATATTTTTACTCCAAAAGAACATGAATTACTTGATCGACGAGGGTTTTATAACCCAAATTCTTTAGTGTTTTTGGGACTGGCGGGAATACAGGATTCATTAAACATCTAGATGACCTCGGTCTGGAAGTGTTGGGGCCACAAAATGGCCTTATAGTCTTTTTCCTTTACTAATGGTTACAGGTGGAGGGGCCACAGAATGACCATTCTTCTTTACAATGGTGGGTGGTGGTCAATGGTCCTATAGTCATTCTTCCTTAATAATGGTTAAAAGTGGTTAGGCCCCACAATGTATATAGTCAATGTTCTTTACTAATGGTTAGAGGTGGTGAAGGTTCACAGAATGGCCATTCTCCTTTACAAGATGTAACAATGGTTGTTGGTGGTGGTGGTGGCCCAGAATGGACTTATAGTCATTCTCCTTTACTAGTTGTTGGAGGTTGTGAGGCCCCAGAATGGACGTACAGTCATTCTCCTTTACTTATCGTTGGAGTTGACTGGGCAACAGCATGATCTTATAGCATCCTCGAAACTCCAGGAGTTACGTTCACTTACGCTATCTGTTACCGCAAAATTGAAGGCACGAAGATATCTGTTTGATTAGTCTCAGGTAATAAAACTTACCAATCGCCAGACTGATACCTGTCCTTTGAAGATTACAGAGGAGCGATGCCTGACTTCAAAGCCAGTCAATATTTACCGTTACGCGTCCGCGAGATTCTTTAGATGTCGTCAAAGGATCGAACTAGTCTCCTAGTCTCATCGACAAGATGGCGCACACACAGTCTTCAATTTTGCTATGACATAGTCCAGGGGTGGGTAAAGCGAAAGTGTCTGGAGTTGGTGGGCCCAAGAATGGCCTAACAGTTACTTACTCACTTACTGTCTATTACGCCCGCTGGCGTTTAGGGCAGCAACGAAATTCCTCCACACCTGTCGATCCTTTGCTATTCGTTCGATAGTTCCCTGGCTGTGGTCCATGTCACGGAGCTATTTTTCCAACGCGCGTCGCCATGTGGTCTTGGGGCGACGTCTCCTTCCGTTTACCTTCAGGAGTCCAGTGTACTACAACCTTTGTGATGGAGTCACCTTCCTCCAGCGTCTCTTCCTGTTGCACTGTCTCATCAGTTCATCAGATCTTCAGAATTTTCCTCAGTCTGATTGTGTGGAAAAGTTGACAATTTCGACAAGTCTTCCTCTGCCATCCGCCAACATTCTGAACCATATAAAAGTGTTGAAAGCACACAGCTAGGGTATATACTCAGCTTGGTTCTGGTGATATACTGTGCTTATTTCCACATTTCTCTCAGGCTTATGAAGACAATTGTCCTTGCTAGCTCCTCCATCCTTGTTGATTGTGCTTCCTAGATAGGTGAATGTATCTTTGCTCGTGAGGTCGGTATTCCCTTGCTGCACTCCAGTCTTGACTTCGAGACTGAGCTCGCTGTTTCCAACACTACATGCGAAGAAGGTATAAAAACTTCTGATGAGATTACCCATCTTAAGTGGTACCCTATACGTACGCATGATTCTCCGGAGGCTGTCTCTAAGAATACTGTCAAAGGCTTTCTCAAAATCAATGAAGTTTATGTAGAGCTGTCTTTGCCATTCTGAACACTGCTCGATGATGTATTTGAGTGCAAAATTGTGGTCAGTACATCATCTTCCCTTTCTAAATCCAGCCTGTTCCTTCCTCCGCAGCGTGTCTCTTCCATCTGTTATCCGCCTTACAATGATTTTACACAATATCTTGCTGGGTATAAAAAGCAAGGTTATTCCACGCCAGTTGTTACAGTCGTATAGCGATCCTTGCTTTGGTATTCTTACAATTACTCTTCTATTCCATCCTGAATGTATCTTCTCTTCCTGTCATACTATCTTAAATAAGGGTTCCAAAATGGAAGCTGCAAGCTCTGGGGCAGCCTTGAACAGTCCAGAATTCAAGTTGCCGTGTCCTGAGGCCTTTCCATTCTTTATTAACTTGATAGCTTTAATGACTTCTTCTCTAAATGGTATGTCGGTGCTGACTTCTTAGTCGTCTCTAGCCTCCTGTATGTCTGCTTCTTCCGCCGGTGGTTGCCTGTTGAGAATTCTACTTTGTTAATGATTAGAAGAAAAAGCTCGGTCAAACAATGACAATACTTATGCTCCCTTACTTATAATTGGAGGTGGAGGGGCAATAGAATGGCTTTGTTATATATTGAAAGAAAAGTATCCCCCTTCAAACTGATTTGAGGGCTGAAACCGAAACAAACGGCCTGATGGTCAATACACGCTAAAGATTGTGGGGCAAAAGAATGGTCCTCATGCCATTTCCTTTATAAATGGTTTGAGATGGTGGGGCTGCAGAATGGCCTTAAAGTAATAACCTTTACCTAGAGTTGAAGGTGTTGTGGCCACAGAAAAGCTTAAGTTCAATACCGGTACCAATATTTGTATGTGGTGCAGCCAAAGAATGGCTTTCTAGTCAATCTCATATATAAATGGTAAGAGGTGGTGAGGCCACAGAATGGTCTTACTAATGGTTGGAA